ATTAGAAATAAAAAATAACATATAATAATAATAAAATGAATTACTGTATTATGAAATTTTAAAAGTCTGTGGAAAGATCACCTTAAAAATTATTAGTCCCATCTTTAAGGTCACTAGGAAGTAGTGGTGGCCTATGCCTGTAAGTGTTTAGATACTGAATGTGGTATCATGAAATAAATAATGTCCTAAAAATATAGGGTAAACCTAATTATGTATCATGTAATCAAGAACTCTTAGGTACATCTAAAGTATTTTGGTATCTATCAATTAGCAAATAGTTCATTTTAAGGAAAAAAAAAATCACTCATGTTGTTATTTCTGAAAATTTAATTTCCTGGTAAGGATCTTTGGTTTCCATAATTATTCCATTGAAATTAAAAGAATTAAGAAAACACAAATTTCTGAAACACAGGATCAGAGCATCAGTGAAGTAGTTACCAAAACCAGGCATTTCTCATGTTACTGCAATCCTCCTTACACAGGTTTTTTTTTTTTTATCCCTTTATAAATAACAGGATACAAAACTCTAAACAAGTTTCTAGAGCACTTGATATCTCTTGAATCACCTGCAAAACCGAAATACTACTGGTTCCAAAATGTGATGAGGATTTATTTGCTAATTATATATCATGAAAATATACCATGTGACTATATGTTCTTATAAATAATATTTCTGATAGTTGGTAGAGCTGGACAAAAAAAATCTCAGTGATACACAGAGTGATCAATTGTGTCTGTTATAAGCAGACTATCATGTCTTTCATATCATACATAGCACTTACCAGAAGCCATCACCACTGCAGGTTGCTATTCTTTTGAAATCTTTATGACTCCAGGCAATGCAGAATATTCCATTTTTTCCATGCTTCAAAAAATGTAAAATACCTATCAATAAGAAATAATTCACCCCTTTTTTCTCTCATTTATTTACTTCTTCTAAGCATTATTTTTTTTAACCAGGAACTTGCTATAGATGATACTAACAGAAACATCATTGTCAACAGCAGAAATCTGAATATATCCTTTAAGAATGTCTAAAGCTGTCATATACTTAAGAAATAAATCCATTGTTTTAAGACATAAATTGGATGGTTCTATTTCTTTCTGTTGGACACTTTAGGTATAGTCAAAATCTGCTTCTTCAGCCGTCTCTAGGATTAAGCTATGCTTTTCCCCATGAACTCCAGTCTGGAGATAGTTATTCATCTGCTTTCAAACCCAGGGCTACCACCACTGTGGTATAAGAAATGTTGCAAGCAATTGTTATTATTGGTTGTTTCTCTAAGTTTCAAAATTTTATTTTTATTAAAAACGATTTAAAGTTACTCCTGTAATAAAGCACTCTATTTTTACTTGTTTCTTCATATATAGGTAGATGCAAAAAAAGGGACTCATCTCTATACTCATTCCATTTAAGGAGTAGAGGCTTCCATCCGCTTTTTTTCCATGGAAAATGCATTCCTGGCTCCCTGTATCCCTGCATTTCCTTTTGTGGGCATCTGCTGCTTAGTTCATTAAAGCTGGCTTTGTTAATTTCCCCCATATTCATTACACAGGATTTAAGAAATTGCGATAATGATTTTTTTTTCTTTTGGGACAGAGTCTCACTGTTGCCCTCGGTACAGTGCTGTGGCATGATAATAACACGCAGAACCTCAGACTCCTGGGTTCAAAGGATCCTCATACCTCAGCCTCCTGACTAGCTGGGCCTACAGGCATCTCCTACCATGCCCAGCAAGTTTTTCTATTATTAGTAGAGACAAGGTCTCACTCTTGCTCAGGCTTATCTCAAACTCCAGAATTCACACAATCCACCAGCCTCAGCCTCCTGGCATGCTAGGACTATAGGCATGAGCCACCACTGTGCTACTGAATGCTGGGAAAGATATAAATGCTTGTAAAAGATGTCCTTGATACTGAGAGGGTGGGCTGCTAGAATTAGGCTGGAACTGCTTATGTGCAAATGGACAAGTATTGTCGGTCACAAGATGCCAAGATGCTATAAAAAGAAATCAACAATCTCTAAAAAGGATATAGTTTTTGAATCTAGGCCAAAAGTTTCATTTTCAGGCTGATTTATTCTTCTATCCCACTATTTCTTATGGGCTGAGGTGCTGTTCTAGTGATTACCGAATTAAAAGAACACTGCCCTGTTCTATGTGGAGAAAGGAAAGGATGCAACTTCAAGATCCTTTGTCAGAGCTCCCTCTGTTGAGCAAAGTCACCTCCTGCAGGTGGTTAAAATTTCCCTGACACTGCATTTGCTTTACTACTGTTGTAGTAGATCCAGTTTACTAAAGTGCATTCTCAAAGGGTAACAGTCTTTTTTGCACAAAACCTTTTAAAGCCTCAAATATATAAGTGATTTTCAAAGCAATTATGTATTTAGTAAGCTTCATCAGTGATCATTTAAAATAAAATTTCAAGATAGTGAGAGAAAATCCCAGATCATATTTCTGCTGATTCATACCTAACATATTGTAATTAGACTGTATGCATTTTTCCAATATTAATGGAATTCAGGGAAAATATGGGATGATAATTTAAGCTGAAGGATAAATACAATCTGTGACACAGTACATAGGAAGAGAGCGGGCTTTAGAGCTTGTCATAGAATGACAGAATTTGAGAAATGGAAAGAAATCTAAGTAACATATAGTCCAATGTCATCATTTTATAGGTGAAGAAATATGTCATAGGCAATAAAATGATTCTCCTTGTGTCAAGAACTAGTATAAACAACCAGGACTATAATTAGGGACTTGCTCTGAGTTTAGCCTTTTGCCCATTATTTAGTATTTGCCTAGATTTTGTGGAAGATGATTCAAAACTCCTCCTCTGAAACTCTAACGCATTAAGGTGGAGTTTAGTATCTTACACTGAGCCACAACTTCCAGAATTCATTTTAGCTCGTGACTATCTTCTTTGGTTTTCTTTTGCTTGAGGGAATGTGCATACCATCTGATTATTGAATGCTATGTTGACAAAGAAAAACATTTATGAAACACAAAATAGCATAAGACATTATGTTATTCAGTAGGAGTAAGTACATCTTACCTCATTAAATCGTTGAACCATTCTGCCCTTTTCAACATCCCAAATAAAAGCACCATTTTGAGAAGTTGCCCCAGCAATACGATTTAAACCACCTTTAGGAAAGCATTTATTAGACGTTATACTAAATAGGTGCCACAAGTGTAACTCTGGTTAAAAATGTAAGTTTTGAAAATGTAAGAATTGAGATGTGCAAAGTAGTTCTTTAATTTTTTTGCAATGGAAATTATTAAATTTATGCGAATATAGAGAGAATAGTAAAATGAATGTATTCATCATCTAGCTTCAGAAATTATCAAAATATGGCCAATCTTGTTTTAACTATAGCTCCTGACGGATTTCTTTGGAGCCAATTTCTGATGTCATTTATTAACTTCATCAATAAATACTTCAGTGTGGATGGCTAAAAGACAGGGACCCTTTTATTATCAAAGTCAAACTATTGTAATCACGACCACAAAAGTTATTAATAATTTCTCAATATTTTTATACATTAATTCAGTATGCATATTTCCCTGACTAATTAGTAATATTTTAACTATTAGTAAAATATTTCTGCAAGACCACACGAAAGAACTCAGTTTCTCTATGAAAGACATAAATAATGCTTTGTGTTTTTAAGAAATGAAATATGTCTGTGAAAATGAAACTGCTCTGAGAGAGTAGAAGTAAGGGCTTCGATGAGTGCTTTTTGCCAGACGGTGAAAGAAGAGGTTTTCTCTACTAAAGGAAAGGAGTAGCTGTCAACTGCCACCGAGGTGTAAAAACACGAAGGAATTACTGTGTGATAAATGATTAGAAGCACTAAAAATAAAAAGTCCTCACCACATTTCTAGAATTTCCATTCTTCTCTCCTTTTTGGGTTCTTAAATAATTTGGGACATGTTTCCAAATTCATTTGCACTTTTTTCCTTCCCCTATGATGTCTACTCTAAAATACAGAGGGAGTAATGCAATCACTTACCGCCTGCTCTACTTCCCTCCTTGTCAACCTTCATTCATCTTTTAAACTTCATCCCCACTCACCTAAACATCATGATTCATTAGTAATCACCTAGCAGAAAATGGCGTAATTGCCATTTTGAAACACTTTTACTCTTTTGATACAAATTCTCCATGTAGAGAGTGGAAGAATGCTTTAAGAAAGATTAGGTCTTCTGTGTTACGATTTCAAACAATGGTTTTTATAGTCAAAATTTTAATTTAAGTTTTAGGTTTGAGATACACACATCATATAGGAGCAAAAGCGTTCAACTAACAGGAGCTATAGTTCAATGTTTCTGTACTGACCAGCCCAATTCCTGTATTGATAGCCAAGGATCCCCCTGTGAAGATGCATATTACAATAATAAAGAGCATGGACTTAGGTATTCTCTGCTTAAAAGAAGAACAACTATCATTGAAAGCTGTAAGTGAAATCTTTTTCCAGACTTTTCCTCACTGTAGGAGATGAGGGATACACAAAGCATTGGTCCTTAACCTTTTCTGTGACATGGATCTCTTTGAAAATCTGATTACTTATGATACTTTTTTCAGATATAGGTACATACATATACACACACACAACAATTATTCATAAAATTCCAAGAAATTCTCAGACTCTCTGAAGGCATCTAAAATCATTGAAGGCCCATACATTTAAGGTTAAGAATTCCTGTGTATAAAGAAATAATTATAAATATAAGAATAACTATATCCTTGTTATAGGTGGTTATTAAATTAATACATGACTATTAGGACAAATAAGTACACCATTGTATGTCCTTTATAAAGCAAGAAATCCTTTTAGGTATATGAAATTATTTGTTACTAGGCAATATTTTTGGGAGAAAATGTCAGATGTTTCATAGGACATCTCTCTTTCTTGTATAGGAAGGTAGCATCTTTCTGAGATCAAAGAAAAAATTCTATTATGGCTTAAAAGTTCTTCAATATTACAAAGGTGGAATTTACATAGAATCATGGGGTTACAACTGAACCGTTACTTGATATATTCATTTATAAAACAGATGCGTAAAGGAAATTATCTATTATAATTTTTAGAAAACATATCTCTCTTTTTCTTATTTTCACAAATTTGATTTACATAAAAAAATTTAGGAGCATTCTTTCATCTAAAATGTATTTTACCTTTAAAGAAATAGCTATACAAATACAACTAAAATCAGATGGACCAGGTTGATCCTGATTTTCTGTGGCTTTTCTATATGACCATGTCACACACAAGGGCTCAGGAATCAAAGTGCCTGTGCAGGTTAGTCTATCCTAAAACCTCACAAAAACTAAATCAACCATATGCTGGCACTAATTTGCCTCTACAATGATTTGCAGGGGTTCTCAACCTTCCTAATGCCATGAACTTTTAATATAGTCCAAAGGGGTTGCGACCCACAGGTTGAGAACTGCTGATTTAGAACAAGATGACATCGAAAGTAAGAAGATAATTCAAATGAAAATAAAATTTAGAAAAATCACTTAATTGTCTCCTCAATTTTAGTAAAATACCTCTTACCTGGAGCCCATGAAAGGGAATAAATTACCCCTTCATTACCCGGAGAAGTGTATACTGCTGTTAGTGTGTTTATATCCCAGACTTTTATAGTACCATCAAATGAAGCGGTTGCTAAAAGATTGGGATCATCTGGTTTGAATTTGCAGTCGAAGATAGTTTCCACATGTCCCTAGAAATGTAGCATAAAAAAGTCTCAGCTACTAAGAAAAACAGATTCCACAGACTGACTTGTCCTTTCTCCTGAAACAATATGCTATTCTCTTTTTGTTTTCCTATGACTATGCAATTTTTCATTACACATCAAGTATCAGTTAAGTAGACATTTGTATGTTAGAGTATAATGTTCAAAATTCATTGCAATATTAATAGTTTTATCCCACTCTATACATTTTTTTCTAAAAAATTTCAACCAAGTAAAATAAACTAATATATCACTACTTACAAAAATAAATTTTAATAATATTAATACAGAGGTGAAAGAATTTTGGGTTTACACAAAATAAGTGCTGTGTTTAATAGAAAGACTACAGGCATACCAAATCCCTGAGAAAATCCCACTTCTTAGCTCCCATATCATAAAGTCCAACTCCACCATCCAGGAAACAGCACACCGCATGCCCAGGGGGCAAAGAAAAGGCTTGATTCTGTGTTAAAGTGGGAGGCGGAACTGCTTCACTGGTTGAGGATGTATAATGATTTTTGGTTGGCGATTGGATTGAAACTAAAAGAGAAGGAAAAAAAAAACATTTACCCAACAGCTTCCCATTGGAATGAAGCCACAGGGTTTAATTTATACACATAAAGATCCTTCACCGTGTAAAACATACAGAATCCGTATCGGCAAACTTTAAGGCAAAGATCACATTTTCTGCCATGTGAGTACTTTTTCAGTATTACCAAAAGATGTGGAAATGTAAGCACAAAATTGGATATTATTTTGAAGAGGAACATACAAGTACAGATGGAGCAAATGGATGAAAATTAGTGTGTGAGGAATTACAATCTGTTGTGAATATTTGTTTTGTCATCCATCTATAAATTTAAACACAGCATGAATATTTTTGAATTATAACCTTCCTTTGAAATGCTGATAGAATAGCTTATTCTGTTTCCATACACAAAAACATACATACATGTAACTTTTTCCTTGAGAAACAACTGTCACTAATTTCTAAGCCAACGAAAATAATTATTTTTGAGATTATCTATAATGTGCTTTAATTTGACTCTCAAATTAAGAATCACTCTCAACAAGATACATGTGCATCTCAATTTTTCTTTTCTCTTCCTCAGGTTTCCTCCCCCCCTCCTTTCTTCCTTGCTTGCTTTTCACAGCCTTCCATTTCTCCTACAAATATCCTTATGCTTGGTTAATTTTTGTATATTCTTTATCCCATATTCTGCCTTCTTTCAAGAAACTTTTCCTTAGAATGTAAATAGTCTCATGTAAACATAATCCAAAATAATGATGCCACTGTAAATTATTACTAATTACATACTGGAATATGGAATACTATTTCCCTGTATTTATTGATTAAAATATAACAAGGTCTTTCTTACTGCATCCAAAAAAAAATTTATGGATAATACTCATTTCATAGAGTCTGAGAAAGAGAAGTTCAAAATAGAACGAACTGCTAATAACAAAAGAGGTACTTGGTAGCAATCCATTTGGGTCAATGAAAATTTGCTGATAGTTTGGTTGAAAATTAGTATTATCCATGACTGTTTTTTTCTAATATTTTCATTAGTTAACGAGTGGTTTTGATAACTTTCTATGTACCAATGTATTTATAATTCATGTTTTTAAGAATTTGGTGAGTATGTCTACTTTTTAAAATTTTAATTTTTATGATTGTTCTTATGCCACACTTTATGTATATTAAAAAAAAATGGGGGGAGCCTAGAAGTCTAAGTGTAATTTGGCTCTAAATGTTTTCAATTTTAATATTAGTTATTGCTTTCATGGTTTCTTCTACATATATATTGTTAAAGGCTATCTTTTTAATTGCTCTGTGGTAGCATATAGTAATTGATATACTGATATCACTGTATCAGTCATTTTATTTGAGAGGCAGTTTGTGAAAAATTAAAATGTTTTACTTACATTTTTTCTTTGGAGGAGAATTGAGTACATGCAAGCAGTGAAATCCTGTTTTCTTTAATTTAAGATTATCAATAGGTGTTGTTTTTGAAACATTCCAAATGCGCAGAACACCCACTTGAGAATCTAATCAGATCAGAAACAAAAGCACAACAGGAGACATGCTGTTTGACAATGGCAAAAATTTCAACTTGCAGGATTTTTAGAAATAATTATTGACATCCTTCAACCAAGAATACTGTAGATTTCTGGCATGTTTAGCATTTTTTTCTCTGTTCCAAACCTTTTTATAGGGTTAGGAACCTCCTATCTCCACCACTTTCCCCAGTAAACACCATTATAAAGGGACCCCATTGACACACACTTGTCCTAGAAAGCAGCAGCCACAGAAAACTCTCTACCTTAACATTAACTAATCCTTTCTCTTTTGAAGTACTACAAAGTGCTCTATTGTCCACTTTCAGCTAAATAAAGGACTCTCAAATATACCTGAAGACCAATTAGAAAGTCCTCTTTCTTCCAAAAATTCCACCTTAATAACTGCTTTGGAGAAGAGTATGGCAGTTCCTCAAATGATTAAACATAGAATTTGCATATGAGCCATTGTGTCTACTTCTAGGAAGATCTTCCAGAATTATACGCATAAGTCTAATAGAAAAGCATGTGCATAGCGGCAGGGGTAAGCTTACCTCCAGTTACAAACATCCCAGGAGCACTGGGGACCCAGGCTAAGCACTGTACTGAAGCTGCTGCACTGGGAAGATTAAATGTTGTTATACAATAAAGTGATTCAGAATCTACCAGGCGGATTCCATAATGTAAATTAGCCACAAGAAGATAATCAGTAGACAGGGGGTCCCACTCCAGGGCTGTAACTGGATCCTCTTCATCTGTCCCTTCAAGAGATTCAGGTCTCAAAACATGTTTCTGGTTTTTATTACCTATTAAAACATAAATAAAAATATTTCCAAAAATTTCTCAGAAAAGATCAACTAGATGATGTCTTCCCCTTGCCTCTACCCATCCCTGAGGGTATTGAGGATGCAAATCTGGCATTTTTGTGCAGAAAGTACAATTGACAGGTGAATGTGGGTGAATTAGTTGTCCTAAGGATAAAAGTCAGATTCAATGTCTGTCTTGGCAATTGCTAGTGGCTTGAATGTTTTTCTGATCATTACTGAAAAGCTAATTTGCACTGTGTTATAGATAAATAACACACTCTATCTTGTCAACAATTACAAATTCCACTAAGTTACAGCATGTATGTGGACAGGGAAAATGTTTATGGAAATGAAGAACTTCATGTAGTTGAGTCAAAAGCATAAATACTGCACCTGGATGACTGCCTGGACTCAACCCTAGTTCTGCCACTTGCTAGTTTTGGGGTTTGGGACAAGATAATTAACAATGGCCAGGTTTTGTGGCTCACACCTGTCATCCGAGGGCTCTGGGAAGCTGAGGGAGGTGAATCCCTTGAGCTCAGGAGTTTGAGACCAGCTTGAGCAAGAGTGAGACCCCCGTCACCACTAAAGATAGAAAAATTAGCCAGGTATAGTGGCAGGCACCTATAGTCCCAGCTACTTGGGAGGCTGAGGCAAAAGGATCACGTGAGTTTGAGGTTGCTGTGAGCTACACCACCACTGCACATCAGCCTGGGACAACAGACTGAGACTCTATCTCAAAATAATAAATAAATAAATAATTAAAAATAAAAATAAAAAAAGCAAAGACACGGAAGGGAGAAAAAAATTTAAAAATATAATTTCTGTGTTTCTCGGGTTTTTTTTAAAATTTTATTTTTATAATGGAGAACATAATACTTCAAGGAGTTTTTTAGTGAATGAGTTAGTTCATTAAAACACTCAGAACAGCATGGTATACTATAAACAGCATATTGATAGTATTTACTGCTATTGCTTCTTCGTTCATTTTACCTCATATCCTAATCATAATTTGCATTTGACTACCAGTACAAGTAGGGAAGCTAGAAAAATAGGGAGATAATACATCTCAAATTAAAGCAAAGGAACATTAAACAATTTTCTTGTCCTTTGTAAATTATAGTACTGTTATAGGATGGACACGAGATATCAAGACCCAAAGTCAATTAATATAGTGCCAATTAAGAAGTCTATATTAAAGAAAAGACGGAAGGGCTGGCTGCTCCCCCAATATGGAGAGCAGCCCAGACCACTGGTAGAGTTCAGCTTATATAATGTGGGCTGATGCGACCTTGGGTGAGTTTGCCTGATTAGAAAATTGCAGAGGCAGGTATTGTTTAAATGCTTACAGGGTATATGATAAAAATAATCACAGACATCCAGTCACATTGGTTTTAGTCATTCCTTCTAACAATATCTCTCTAGCCACCATGTCTAGTTGGGCCTCTCAGTATGGTGGGGGGCGCAGAGGGCAAATTAGGGCAATGCGGACCAGTTTCTGCAGCTCAGACTCCTCAGCTCCACTCTCTCTGTCCCTCCCCTTTTATCTTCCGTCTCCTTTAACATTTCACTGAACAGTAAACAGTTTATTATGATTTCTTACACACTTATACTATACTTAATGTCTAATGCTTTCTACCGTTTATCATTTATTATTCATCTTTTTGTTATCTATTTTACCTACTCCTACACTATTGTTAAGCCTTAGGAACTTCCCTAAACTACTGTTAAGCAGTGTCCCCCCTCCCTCCCACTATTGATTGCGTCTTGCTGATTTAGCAGGAATTTAAGGGTGATGCAAAAAGGAAGGCACCAAAGAGGGGAGAGAGTGGCAGGATTTTTATCCCATCTCAATACAACTTTAAATATAGAAAAAATTAACTCTGCTGATGCGCCATATGAAACCTCCAACGAGCCAGCCCTCTCATTCTCAAACAAACAAAAAAAAAGGCATAAAACAACAAAATTTAGAGACTACAACCTTAACAAGTACCAATTAGTAATAAGTATCATAAACTTGAAATGAAATGTTTATGTTTTTAAAAATGCAATTAAAAGATATCACAGCTCTTGCTGAAATCCCATACTTACACAACTTTTTGACATGAGATTATAAAAGCATAAAAAAATTGTTTTCCTTGGATATATAATATATTTGTAACAAAAAATCTTGTCACTTCTAGTTTGGGATTATGCTTATCAGAATATTTCCCCCTTAAATTATTACCCAAATTCTTCTCCTTTTTTATAGGCTATCATAAGCTTTTGTCATTGCAAGACATAAAAATTCCTATTGAAAGGTGTAGGTATTAAAAGTTTTGGCTTTTACCTGATTTATACAAAAATGAAAACACCTGAATTACTCTCTTATTTACCTACTCTCTTATTTATATGTAGGTACATACATACCTATATGACTATTGCATATGTGTATAAATGTATGGTATGCACAATTGCATCTTATAGTTATCCATATGTGGATAACTATAAAAACAGTTCTCCCAGTGGAAATTAAAATCTTCCTAACTATAGTATCTATTAAATAAAATTAAGTCCAACTTAATGTGTCTGGAATGCATCCCTCATTCATAATCTCAGTCTCTGGACATGTTCTGTTCTACAGAAAATAGCTTTACAAACTAACTTCTGAGCCACCAGCTTGGAAGTGTCTTACTATTTTTCTCCCCAAGTGTCAAAACAAGCCTGCTGGACTGAGCACCTAGTGACATGTGCTACTGATTTCTGGTTTGACTCCATCTTCCTGATGAGTATGCAAGCTCCTAGATTTTTCTTTACATAAACCTAACAGCAAAGATATGAAAAGAGAAACAGAAAAATATTTAATATCTAATAGTAAATAATATTCAAAAACATCTCATTAATGTCTACATTATTTTATATATTTGTTATTATTTACTCATATATGAAGAAGGAAAAACTATTTCATTAATGGAAATACAATATACATGTATGTCAATATATAGTATATATATTTGTATGTATGTTTATATTGAGGGTTGGGGGTTTGTGTTTGGAAAGGCCTAATTTGGAAGCCTTCAAATTTGAACTAAGCAAAATAAGCAACATGTTTCCAAGAGGGAACTAGTCTTGATAACTTTATAAGGCATTAGATAAATTTTGAGGACTGTCTATCTTTCAAATGTGTTCTTTCACTGTTTCGGGAAGCGTGGCCCTGACCTACCTGTATCAATGAGGATTGTTTGATAGGTAGAGATTTCTGGCCTTTTCCGCAACCAGCTGAATTTGGGTCTGCAGCTCAAGCATTGACATTATTAATATGCTCTTCCAGATATACATTAAAGTTTGAAAAGCAGGCACTCATTAAATGTTTAGTTTATCAAGATAAATTAGCTATCTTGATATTTGTTTCTTTTCAATTTTGGATAATATGAGGGTACAAATAATTAGGCTATATTGTTGGCATTTCTAAGGTAAGATTCAAGTGGTAGCCCTTCACCCAGGGCTACACATTGTGCACATTAGGTGAGAGCTTACTAATCCCTCTTCCTCTTTCTCTCATCCTCCTCCCCTCCCCACTGGAATTTATTGTGGGCATGTAGTTGTTTATCTATTCCTTTCATTAACTTGATATTTGTATGTTTGGTGGTTTTACATTTTGTCTCATTTTACATGGTTATTTTTGTTTAACTAGATTTTTTTAAATTAAATCATAGCTGTGTACAATTAAAAAAAAAAAGAATATTTCCCCCTTTAGTAAAATGTTGATTTTAAATAAATATTTCATTTAGAATTTTTGCATATATAATCATAGAATATGGACATCAGATTTCTTTTATTTGGTTTTCTTTTATTTTGCTTTTTCTTCCTCCAAATAAGCATCTGCCAAATTTCTATTTGATACAATAAGAGGGATACACATTAATATAGCCAATTGTTACAAGGCTGAGAGAATTAGAAAAATGGCTTAGTAATCATTGCATTACTCACTGTTCTTAAATAATCTTTAGGTATTTCCATGTACCAGTTAGTAAACATAGATTTACAAATAATTCAGCACGTAAAAAGATACTCAAAATGTAATTTCGAAGTTCCACTTATAGCCAAAGTGATAAATTATGTTCATAGTTCACTTTTCTATCTGGTTTTCTAGTTTTTTGTTTTTTTTTTTTAGAGATAGAGTCTCACTTTATTGCCCTTGGTAGAGTGCTGTGGAGTCACAGCTCACAGCAACCTCCAACTCCTGGGCTTAGGCAATTCTCTTGCCTCAGCCTCCTGAGTAGCTGGGACTACAGGCACCCACCACAACGCCTGGCTATTTTTTTGTCACAGTTTGGCTGGGGCCGGGTTTGAACTCTCCACCCTCGGTATATGGGGCTGGCACTCTACTCACTAGCCACAAGCGCCGCCCAATTTTATAGTATTTTTAATCTAAAATAAAGAAAGATGAACCTATAAAATTTTACAGTTATTAGAAAAAGATGGTATTTTTATTTATACAAGATATTATTATAATTAATATGTTCTATTTCATTAAACATCAGACATTAAAACTGCCCTTACAAATTAAAAATGGGTACAAGGTGAGAACTAGGGTAAGGGCCTAGCTAAAAATAAGACATGGGCCCAGCTAAAAGTAATGGTAATAGGTTGAGTACAGTCATTCAATCCTGTAATCCTAGTACTCTGGGATGCCGAGGCAGGTGGATGAGCTCAGGAGTTCAAGACAAACCTGAGCAAGAGCAAGACCCCATCTATACAAAAAATAAAAAAACTAGATGCGCATGGTGGTGGGTGCCTGTAATCCCTGCTACTTGGGAGGCTGAGGCAGGAGGATTGTTTGAGCCCAGGAGTTTGAGGTTGCTGGGAGCTATGATGATGGCACTGCACTCTACCCAGGGTGACAGAGTGAGAGTCTGTCTCAAAATAATAATAACAATGATAGTGATTAGCCACTATCCCCCTGTCTGCTAGTATGTGGTCACATAGCTGGTGGTCATAAAGATTCTTAACTTTTTCTATTGATACTATATCCACATCAAAAAGAGAAAACTGTGAATTATGTCACTTACCTATGAACCTTAATGACCAAACAGAACCTGCCCCCAGTGCAGAGGATATAACAGAGGAAGTACCAGCCTAGGTGTCTGAGCCATCAAATCCAAATGAAGAAACACTCATTAATTTCTATTCATGCAAGTCAATGAAGACATGAAAGCCCCACCATATTAAATTAGCAAAACTAGAAGGAGCAACCAGGGTCGTGTTCAAAGAGCCAGGTGGGAAGGTGGTAAAGAAATCCATGGGTATTTTTTACCTTTCTTTAGAAGGTAAATAATAGATCCTATTTAAAATATATTTCATATATGATGGCCCCAGTATATCAATGTTTTATATAATCCTTTTTTTAAATCTTAGAAATATAATTTCTAGAAGAAAGATTTATTTAAATTTTCAGTTTTTTCTGTTCTACTTTTCTTTTTTTCTCCTATAAATATCAGAAAAATTACACGTAATACATTTGTGAAAGTAGTTATTCTGTTCCTGAAAAAGCACTTTTGCCCATCCATCTCACTAATCAAATACATCCAGAGATGCTAGATGGCTCAAAGTACGTTTCACAAATATTAACAATAGTTATTTGTGAGGGAAGGGCAAGTCAAGTAACTTTTGATTTTTAATTGTACTTTTTGTTACTCCTTCAATTTTAATAAGGAAGACAAACTGATTTTTCAAACTTTTAAATTCATGGGGCATCATTCCTCTTTATGCCTTTGCTGTGGCATCAGAATGGCATTTTCACAAGCAAATGGTAAAGTATCATCCAGCTGTATTTCCTGTTCATTCAGGTTATTTTCTGGTAAACAGGCAGAAATAAAGAGTTGACTTTAAAAGTACAAATCAGTAATTTTAATCAGTTCCAAATAAAATCTGCACAGCTGCACTGAATGTATTACAACACCTCAAAATAAAATTTACTTCAAATGAAGATTTGGAATTAGTACAATGCTAGATAACATTTTAACAACTGTTATATCAAAATCAAAGTTGTGTTACTTTTGGCTTTATGCTAAGTAAATAAAGATTATATATGATAAGAAAAATACATTTAAAAAAACCTAACAAAGGTTTTTTTTTGCAGTTTTTGGCCAGGGCTGGGTTTGAACCTGCCACCTCCATATGGGGTTGGCACCCTACTCCTTTGAGCCACAGGCACAGCCCAAACTAATTAAATTCTTACCTGGCTGAAAAATCGACAGACTTCCATCAAGGTGACCAAACACAACTTTCCCCCTTTTCTGGGTGTGCCATCTGAAGATACAGATGTCAGACAAGAAGCTGTGAGCTTCTCTGTGTACGGTCACTCCACTGTCTGGCCCTGAGATGGTCCAGATGAACAGGGGTCCTCTATGGGAAACAAATGCCACCATATCACTTGCATTCCAGCACCAGCTGAGAGAGGCGGGTATCCCTGGAATAAATCAAACACAAATATAGAATAGAGAGATATGGCATACATACCATTAAATACTGTTTACATTGACATTTCTAAAACAAAGTAAAATACAAGAAGATGTTTATTATTTTAAAAATACATTACTTTCTCAGTTGGGGACTGGATTTATAGAGAAAGCCTCAAGACTACAGAGAACATACACAGGGAACATCCATGATAAAAGGAAAAGCACCTCGGTTAGGTTCAAATACTACTGATATGATCATGTTTCATATATGCAAAGACATTTAGGGGGATCTTTATTTTTGTAGACTATACACTAAGGCAATAAATATTCATTGTGTATTTGTATAAAAGACTTTTTCTGGGCATGCTAGGTACAGAAAGTAATATGGAATATACTTTTTGCTTTAAAGAATTCTAAATGGGCCAGCACGGTGGTTCACGCCTGTAATCTCAGCACTCTGGAAGGCTGAAGCAGGTGTACTGCTTGAGCTCCAGTTTGAAACCAGCCAGAGAAAGAGTGAGACCCCATCTCTACTAAAAATATAAAAATTATCTGGGTGTTGTAGTGGGTGCCTGTAGTCCCAGCTATTTGGGAGGCTGAGGCAAGAGGATCGCTTGAACTCAGGAGTTTGAGGTTGTTGTGAGCAACTCAGGGCACTCTAGCCTGAGTGACAGAGCGAGACTGTCTGAAAAAAATAAACAAATTAAAAAAATAAAGAATTTTAGGCTCGGCGCCTATAGCTCAACTGGCTAAGGCACCAGCCACGTACACCTAAGGTGGTGGGTTCGAATCCCCAGCCCGGACCCGCCAAAACAACAATGACGGCTACAACCAAAAAATAGCCGGGCGTTGTGGCGGGCGCCTGCAGTCCCAGCTACTTGGGAGGCGGAGGCAGGAGACTCGCTTGAGCCCAGGAGTTGGAGGTGGTTGTGAGCGTGATGCCACGGCACTCTACCCAGGGGGACAGCTTGAGGCTCTGTCTCAAAAAAAAAAAAAAAGAATTTTAAATGTAAATTAGGGAAACAAAGATTATATACATGAAAAGATAAATACTACTATAATAATTTCTTATAAGACTTCGAAACCAGCCTGAGGAAGACTGAGACCCTGTATCCCTAAAAAAAAAAAAAAACCAGCACGGTGTTGCGGCAGGCACCTTAAGTCCCAGCTACTAGGGAGACTGAGTCAAGAGGACTGCTTGAGCCCAAAAGTTTGATGTTGTTGTGAGCTATGTATGATACCATGCCACTCTAGGGAGGGCCACAAAATGAGAGTCTTTCTCAAAAAAAAAAAAAGAAAAGAAAAGAAAAAAAAAAAAAGAAAAAAATGAACTCTAGGACATTTCAAAAAGGGTTATTCAAAATGCAAGTGAGAAAAATATTTAAAATTTCTTTGCATGAGGAAGTTATTGAAAAGTCTTCAAAAATTTTCAAAGAAAATAAAAGACATAAAATTTACCAAAATTAGTACGCCAATTACTTAACCATTTTCTGACTTTTAATAACAAAGTATTATTTAATTGTGTATGCAGTGGCAAAAGAAACTATGGTGCATACAGCTGGTAAATAAAAACTAGGCTGGTGAATGGGTGTGATATATACAGTGTTTGATGATAGAGCCATGGATAAAATAAGTGATAATTCAATAATATACCAGCTAATCTGTACTTTTGTATAACATTTAGAAAATGCTTATTATGCATTTACAGCCTGGTATTGACTTTTCATTACAAGTTTATGAGAACCACATTATTATGCAACTTTTTTAGTTTACGGCATATAGAAGATAGAAACAATTTTAAGAAGGATTTGTTGTGCTGTTTAAAATTAATCTGACATGACGATGGATTTAATATTAAAGAGAATACATTTTTGGTCACTAAAAATATTGGAATAACCTATAGAATTTGTGATTGGTGGAAAAATAGATTTCTCCTCTCCATGATAAAATATGGAGAGAGATGGCAAATCTTGACTCAGGCAACTAATCACTGTTTATAAATCACAAAGCTTTGTACCAAAAGTAATTTGGCCTTTTCTCACTGATACACAGAAAACCTCAAGGAAAACTATTAAGTACATTAAAGGAAGCCCACCAAAGTAGTTGACTTCTAAAAATATTTCACTCAGAAATTGTAGCAAACTTTACTCATTGCCTCGTATAATACATTGGCTGCTATAAGTGAAAATAAAGAATAAGGCTTATGAACTTGGGAATGAGAATTAACCTCACTTGAGAAATATTTTTAAGATAATAGCTGATTAACAAAATGATGTATTTTAGTGATATTTTCAGCATTCTTAATGACATAAATTTGAAAAGACAAGGAAACACCAATGTACTCAATATACTGAATAATATCTAAAGGTTACAAAGACATTATATTATTTTGGAAACACAATTTAAAAATAATTGCCTATGAATTCCCAGTATTGTTGCTACATACTTAGAAGGATATTATAAAGTTGAGCAAAATACAATTAGTGAAATTTTCATATCTCAGTTTTGAATCCCAAAATTGTAATCATTATCTTTTAGAGAAGCAGCTGAATAAGGAAAACATATCCAACAGAAGCTTTTAAAACCATCATGAAGAATTGAGCGATATTTGATATTCAAAAGAGAGTGAATTATTATGACAGTTAGCACAGAAAAATGATTGTTTAGCTTTATCATCAAGATGATGTAAGAATATAAGTATCTAATGCTAAGTAGAGAGAGTATAATGAATTATTCAAATTCATAAAGTCCCATTGTGTGAATAAACAGGCAAGTCTTATTACTTATTTCATTAAGAAAATCTTTTCTAATTTTTATTTTTCTGTTTATTGTGGACAGTTTTATATTATATTTAAACATTAGTGAAATTATTTGGTACTGACTGTTTTTAATTGACCATATGTTCTATGTATAATTATTTAATGAAATTTTGTTTCAGTTTTAAAGACAGGCAGACAAGGAGTCACAACATAAATGTATTTCTTACATAGGAAGTCTGAAAACTACTTCAAAACTTGAACTAATATTAACCAGCTTGATGAAAGTATTTCAAATTGTATATGAAAACACTACACTGTACCCCGTGTTTGCATTAATGTACACAGCTATCATTTAATAAACAAACAAACAAACAAAAAACTTGAACTAATAACAACTAATAGTGTTTGTTGAAATAAAAATATTTTAACTACTAAAACAAATTCAAGTTCTAAATGTACCTTTTTGACTGTCGAGTTTAGCAACGACTTTTTGTTCTGCAACATTCCAGATGATCACCAAGTTATCAGTGCTGCCACTTGCAAACAAGTCAGGGTTATGTGGACACCAAGAGATTGCTGTGATTGTTTTTTTATGTTCAGACATAATTGCATGAAGTTTGAATTCATTATAATGGTGATCCAACTAAAACAAAATACATAAATATAACATTTTAGTGTTTCTTTTAAGGTAATACGTTATCCACTAATAATCACATAATACAAAACAAAACTACATACGTGAATAATCGTTAACCTAATAATAAAGATATGAACACGTTTCAAGTCTTGGTTTATGTTCAAGTATATTGAAAAAAACTTTTTAAAAAATGAAATAACTGAGATAAAACACATCAACTTTAAATATAAGTAAAAATGATTGTTTTTATCTTTCAATATGCATACTCAGAGTTTTATTATATTTTCCATATCTATATCTATTAAGAGAGGAATTAATTTGCTAATTAATTCCTATTATATTTATAATTCAATATGATCAGACTACTATTACATTGAGATGGATCATAAATTATTCTACCTTTAGAGTACTTTAATATATTAGTGCATTACAACTCAATGTTTGAAAAAAATTCTGATGACATTTAAGAATATCATTCAATAGTTCAGAAAAAACTTATAACACACCAATGTCATCCAGAGTGTGGCACATTAATAGACTTTGACTCTATACTGGCATTAGGTGTTATTTAATAAATATTTCCTCTAAGAATACTTGCAACATTTTAGTGATATAGCATAGTTTTCAAAGCACTTTAATTTAGATAATCACATTTAAAACAATACTTATAAGTTTAATTAATACTGATGTCCCCACTAATAATGCAATTTTTATTGGCATACTTTGAAACAAGGTTTTACAGTGGACAAGCTATAATTAATTTGCATTAATTTCTAAGTCAGGATAATTTTTTGTTTGTTTTAGTCCTTAATGACATGAAAATTTTCTTGTATGTTGTTTATACTAATAATTCTAGGTTAATCATCCTAAATATTTGTCATAAAATGTCATCAAAAGATTGAAACCATACAAACTTAAAAAAATTAAGTTCTGCTTTCATCTATTGAGTTTCATCCTCATCCTTAGCTCTGAGGAGAATAGTTTGCCTTGCCTAAGGTCCTCTCCTTTAGGAGGAAACAAAAGACAAGAAGATAGGGAGTTAAGATGAGGGGAGAAACTTTGTAGGAGGAATTTGGAAGTGAGAATCTATTTGCAAAGTGTGAAGAAGGTAGGCAGGAGGAAAAATGAGGCCTGTGGAAGGCTTGGTGCTGTCCTACGCATGGCGGGCGGAGTGAAAGAACATGAGTTATGATGAAATTGCATTTCAATTCCTAGATATTTTTACAGTTTTGAGGAATGGAGGAATGAGGAATTTTACTCTACATTGTAGAAAATGAACTTTTTAATGGATTAATGCTATTATTCCTTAAATTTTCAATAAACCACAAAACGATCAGTTACAGACTAATAAGTGGTAATGAAAAGGGATTTTTACTTCAGGATAAAACAATATGTGCATTTTACCCTTAATTGAAATGAGCTGGAATTTCAATAATTAAGCAATATTCATTTAACACATTTAATAAATGTCTACCTAGTGCCAGAAAGTGTGCAAAAATTTGAGAATTCAAAGACGAGAAAGACACTACTAGTAAATGGAAGCCTGGGAAGAGGCATCCTATCCTGCAAGGTCCTTCACTGCTAAGAAAGGGGGAAGCAGAATATGGAAAAGAGCTGGTACACTGGAGCCGAATATTTGTAAGAAGAGGTGGTGTTCTCTAAACAGGCAATGTAGGCGACCTGAAAAATTAATGCGAGATATGAAAGAGACTGAAATGTTTTAGAAAATGCAGCTGTGTGGTGTATCTGGAATATGTGGAGTGAGAGAGGCAGGAAGATCACAAAGATGTTGAATGTCGTACTCTGAAGTTTGAATGTTACTATAGGGAATAAGTAGGCAAAGATACTTCTAACATTTAGATGTGCTTGACAGATGACTGGTTATACTGAAGCATAAATTAGAAGCAGGCAAAGTAGAGGGAGAGAGAGACTGTTAAGAGATGATTACAATAGTTCAGATGAGATGTATAAAAGAAGATACTAAAAGACATAAAATACTAGAATCAATCTTGGTCACCAAGGTTATAGGATATGAGTAAAGAGAATCAAAGATCATGCTCCCCTCTGGGGTGTAGAGGAACAGTTGGTGATACTGAGGTATTGACTCTGAGTTTAAGGACAGAGACTGGACATGGATTTAAGATGCTTATGGCACCTCTACACAGAGACATTCAGGTCAATGGCTCTAGAAATCAGGATGTGGGAATGGGGAGCTAGGACCCAAAAAAAGTAGTTATAAAGGTTCTTCTCCCAAGACTACCTCAAGATACATCTATACTAGTTTTAATATTAATATAATGATCTTTGATGTGCTATCCACATTCTTCAACTGACAAGAGAATTTTCTTATATTAAATTTACTAATAATTTAATATATCCCTTCTTGGCCTTTGGCTAACATCAAGTGTCTAATTATTTAATACTATACTATAAGCATTTCTAAAGGTTTAACTTATAAAGCCAATCCAGTACAAGTAGCAAAAAACAGGGAAAAATATGTTTTATATGTTATAAAATGTAATATTAGTAATTATACACATATAGCAATGAAATTGTAGCATTATGCTTTTCAGGTAACAGAATTAAAACTAAATATTAATTAAATATTCATTTTGCCTGTAAATTTAACAATTGCAAAGCATGGTTATAACTTTACCTGGTAAATGTAGATAGCCAGGGTTGCACAATATGCAAACCTGTCCCCACTGGCAGCACATACGTCTCTGTTCCACGGCTGACATCCAGCAGCCAGCAATCCCACTTGCCTTACGTGGGACATGTTTGGCTTGAAAAACAAATTTGAAGGAATGTCAGTCATATTCATAATTTGATAAGCTTCCTTTTCATTGTTTTAACATTTGTCTTCCCCCAAGCCTTACTTTTATTCCTTGAAAAAAAATTTACCAGTGCTATTAATTTCCACTTACATTTCCAGAGAACAGGAGTTGAAATCCTCAAGTGTCTATAGACATTTACATCAACACACGTTATTTAAATTTAAAAGCAAGAGGTCATAAAGGGCTGAATGACAACTGACACTTGACCTGTAAGGAACTAGAGGGAAAAAGACGAGCATGCAGGTTCTATCTAAAGGGTGCCAGTACCACTGGAGAAGCCCATCTCATGTTCAAGACTTATGAGGCTTCCTAGAGAAACTAAGCACTACTAGAGATAGATTTATTTTTAAAAAGTATATAAATTATTTGAAATACAAATTAGCATGATAAAGTAACACTGCTATGAATATGTGAGTGCTTGTAAATACAGCAGAACCTCCATAGCTGACTACCTCCCTACACTGACCACCTCCTTAAGTTGACCTTCTTTTCTTTTCTTTTTTTTCTTTTTTGAGGCAGAGCCTCAAGCTGTCACCCTGGGTAGAGTGCTATGGCATCACAGCTCACGGCAACCTCCAACTCCCAGGCTTAAGTGATTCTCTTGCCTCAGCCTCCCAAGTAGCTGGGACCACAGATGCCCCCCACCAATACCCAGCTATTTTTTGGTTGTAGTTGTCATTATTGTTTGGCAGGCCTGGGCTGGATCTGAACCCACCAGCTCTGGTGTATGTGGCTAGCACCTTAGCCACTTGAGCTACTGAGCCTTGACCTTATTTTCATAGAGTGGATGTGCACTATGTATCAGTACAATAGATCTACTTCCTTATGGTGACCACCTGCCATGTATCGACCAGTCTGTTACAGTTCTCTGGGTGGTCAACTTACAGAGGTTCTACTGTATTCAGAACCTTGCATTAGAAATAACCGTTCTGGCCCGATACAGTGGCCCACACCTATAATTCCAGTACTGTAGGAGGCTTAAGCGGGTAGATCCTGTAAGCTCAGAAGTTAGAGGCCAGCCTGAGAAAGAGCAAGTCTGTATTAAAAATAGAAAAACTAGTCAAGCGTGGTGGTGGGTAGGTACCTATAGTCTAAGGTGACCAGATTTTAACATTAGGAAAGTGGGACACCATGGGGGGGTGTGTGTGTGCTGACAACAATGCAAACTTTGATAAGCAATTCTGGATAATCAGTTCTCAACAATTATTTGTTATTATTAAAGTTTAACATTAGAAAATTAACAAAAATAATATAAAATGCATATCCTAGTGAAATAGGCACATGGCAGCCAAAAACCATATATTCTCTTCCTGTTCTTCTGTGTTCCCTAGCTTGTCATGCATTCTTCCCAAAAAATCAGGGCTTTTTAAAAACACCGCAGGACACAGGATAAATTGTTAAAAATTGGGACTGTCCTGCCAAAAGTGGGATGTCTGGTCACCTTACTCTAGAGGGAGGGGCTACTTGTTTGTTCCAGACAGTTTGGCTCCTTCTGAGCTAACTGTCTTGCCTAGAAGCAAGGGAGGGACCCAGTCTCCTTCTGATACCTTTCCAGGAGGGGAGTGGGGAGTTTACATTAGACTCTTCATTTCCAAATGAAGTCACATTAACCTCTTCATTCCCAAATGGAGTTACATTAACCTTTTCAGCAACCAAAAACCGTAAATTCCCTTCCTATTCTCCTGCTGTTCCCTAGCTTGTCATGCATTCTTTCCAAAAATAGGGACTTTTTAAAAATGCCACAGGACGTGGGATAAATTGTTAAAAATTGGGACTGTCCCACCAAAAGCAGGACATCTGGTCACCTTACTATAGTCCCAACTACTCAGGAGGCTGAGGTGAGAGGATAGCTTGAGCCCAGGAGTTGAAGTTGCTGTGAGCTAGGACCTCACTGCACTCTATCCAGGGTAACAGAGTGAAATTCTGTTTAAAAAAAAAAACAAAAAACTTTTCTTCTTCTTCTAATGACATTGATATTTCTTCAAACATTAGCATTCAGGATAAATAAAAAAGATATACATTTTCTTTTTATAAATAATGTTATGTTACAATATCCTCATTGGCTATATATGTATGTGTGTGTATATATATATATATATAATTTCAGCCTCAAGTGAGTTACATAGGCTTTTGTAGATTATTCTGGGTGGGGATATATGATTACTATTTACAGTATAACATTTGTGTCTAAATAAAAATTAATTTCTGTTTAAATAAACACTGAGTTTACATTTGGGGGAAAATGCAATTAGAGGAAAAAAATTAACACACATTTAAAATGAAGTTGTTTTAAAATTTTCACCTTCTGCTAACCTTTTTCTCATTTTTAATAATTAAAAAACTGATTTTGGAGAAATTTTAGATTCACAGCAAAATTGAGCAGAAAAGTACAGAGTTTCCACACATTCCTTATGGTCTTTTCCCTACCTCATAAAACAAACTTCCCCACCATCAATATCCAACACCAGATGGTACATCTGTTAAAATTTATGAACCCGTATTGACACGTCATTACCATCCGAAGTCCACAGTTTACATTAAAGTTCATTGTAGGTGTTCTACATACTACAGATTTTGACAAATGCACAATGACATGTATCCACTGTTGTAGTGAGTCCAAAATAATTTAAGTGTCCTAGAACCCCCTGACCTCTGTTTATTCATTTACCCACTCCCTAACTTCTGGCAACAATTAATCTTTTAATGTCTCTGAAGTTTTGCCTTTCCACAAAATCACACAGCTGGAATCATATAGTACGTAGCTTCTTTGGGTTACTTATATGCATTTAAATTTCTTTCACATCTTCTATGGCTTGATAGTTCCTTTCTTTCTCCTTTTTTTTTTTTTTTTTTTTTTTTTGCAGTTTTTGGTCAGAGTCAGGCTTGAACCGATCACCTCCAGTATTATGGGGCTGGCATCCTACTCCTTGAGCCACAGGTGCCGTCCCCTCTATTTTTTTTTATTATAGTAAAATACACATAACATCAAGTTTACCATCTTAACCATTTTTAAGGATATAGTTCAGAGGTACTAAAAACATCCATAATGTAGAAATACAACCACCTTCCATCTCCAAAATTCTTATCTTGCAAAACTCACTACCATGAACAGTAACTCCCCATTCTCCCTCCTCCAGTCTCCACAACTACCATGATTCTTTCTGTCTCCATGAATTTGACTACTCCAAGTAGCTAATATCTGTGGAATCATACACAGTTCTGTTTTCTTATAACTGGCTTATTTTACTTAGCATAATGTTTAATAATGCATGTTTAGTTTAATCCATGTTGTAGCACATACCAGAATTTTCTTCCTATTTAAGGCAAATAATATTTCACTGTGTTATACATATGCCACATTTTGGTTATCCATTCATCCTGTCAATGGACAATGGCCTTGCTTCCAGGTTTCAGCTACTGAGAAAATGCTGCTATGAACATGGGAATACAAAAATCTCTTCCATACCCTGCTTTCAGTTCTTCTGTAAATATATGCTTGATCATATAGTAATTCTATTTTTAGGTTTTTGAAGGGATGCCACGCTGTTCTCCACAGCAGGGGCTCTGCTTTACATGCCCTACAACCTGGCACAGCGTTCTGATTACTCTGCACCTTCACCAACACTGGCTATTTTCTGTTATTTGACAATAGTCATTCCAGGGGATGTGAGATGGTATCTTATTGTTTTAATTTCCATTTCCCCAATCATTAATAATGCTGAGTGTCTTTTCTTTTTTGTTTTCACTGTTTTTGAGTATTTTTTAATTTTTTCAAGTTAGTATGTGGGTATAATTTTTAGGTTACATTGTTCTCACTTCTACTTTTTTTTTATTGTTGGGGAATCATTGAGGGTACAACAATCAGGTTACACTGTTTGATTTGTTAGGTAAAGTCCTTCTTATAATTGTGTGCCTCTCCCAAGAGGTGTGTTACACACCGTGAACCCTGACCCCTCCCTTTTTCCCTCTTTCCATCCCCCAGTCCCCCACCTCCCACCATGTACTAGCATCAACGGTCCCCATATCAGAATTGAATACATTGGATTCTTGCTTCTGCATGCTTGTGATGCTTTACTAAGACGAATGTGTTCCATCTCCATCTAGGTGAATACAAAAGATGCGAAGTCACCAGTTTTTTAATTGACTAAATAATATTCCATGGTATACATATACCACAGCTTGTTAATTCATTCCTGGTTCCTGGGCATTTAGATTGTTTCCACAATTTGGCAATTGTAAATTGAGCTGCAATAGTCTAGCTTTTTCTTCTGGGTAGATTCCTAGTAATGGGACTGTAGGATCAAATGGGAGGTCTAATTTGAGTTCTTTGAGGATTCTCCATACTTCCTTCCAAAAAGGTTGTATTAGTTTGCAAATAAGAACATACACTGAGGGAAAGAATCCCTATTCAATAAATGGCACTGTGAGAACTGGATAACCACATATATAAAGCCTGAAACTGGACTTGCACCTTCTCTCCACTCATTAAAATTTATTCAAGATGGATAAAAGACCTAAATCTAAGGCATTAAACAATAAAAATCCTCAAAGAAAGTGTGGAGAAAACACTTGAAGGTATTGGCCTGGGGAAAGACTTTATGAAGAAGACTCCAGTGGTACCTGCTATAACAACAGCAAAAAAAAAAAAAAAAAAAAGAAAAAATGGAGTTTAATTAAACTGAATAGCTTTTGTACAGCTAAGGAGACAATAACCAAAGCAAAGAGACAACCACCAGAATAGGAAAAGATATTTGCATATTACCAATTGGACAAAAGCTTGATAACTAGAATCTACAGAGAACTCAAATTAAGCAACAAAAAAAGAGCCAACAGCCAACAATCCCTTCTATCAACGGGCAAATGAGATGAATAGAACCTTCTCTAAAGAAGACAAATGGCTAACAAACATATGAAAAATGCTCATTGTCACTAATTATCAGAGAAATGCAAATCAAACTCACCTTGAGATATCACCTAACCCCAGTGAGAATGGCCCACATCACAGACGCAAAGCTGCAGTTGTTGGGGTGGATGTGGAGAGAAGGGAACACTTTGACACTGCTAGTGGGAAAGAGCATCTTTTCATGTGCCTATTTATTAGTCCTTAGTACATCTTCATTGGAGAAATGTCTATTCAAGTCCTTTGCCCATATTTGAATCAGATGAATCATGTTCTCCGTTGAGTTTTAGTTTTCTATGTACTATATTTGGGATATTAATCTCTTATCAGATATGTGATTTTCAAAAATTTTCTTTCAGTCTGTGGGTTGCTTTTTAACTCTGTTGGATACTATCTTTCGATGCACACAATATTTTTATTTACACAAAGCCCAACTTGTCCATTTTTTCTTTTGGTATCATATTTCAGAAATCCCTAGTAAATCCAACATTGTGACGCTTTTGCCCTGTGTTGTCTTCCAAGAGTTTTGTAGTTTTTGTCTTACACTCAGGTCTTTGATTAATTTTAGTTTTTGTATATATTAGGTAAGGGTCCATTTCATCCATTTCCCAGAACTATTTGTTTAGAAGACTGTTCATTTCATACTGAATAGTCCTGACACACTTGTCAAGTAACATATGACCATATAAGCAAGCATATATATCTGGATCTCTATTCTATTCCACTGGTCTATGCATCTGCCTTTTTTCCAGTATGACGCTGTTTTGATTACTTTAGCATGGGGATAAGTTTTAACGTAAGGAAAGAGAAGTCCTTTACTTTTGTTATTTAGGGTTCCTTGAGATTCCATGTGAATTTTAGGATGAGTTTTTCAAAAATTCTGCAAAAAACATCATTTATATTCTGATAGGTATTACACTGAATGCCTGTATGCATATCAGTGAGTACTACTGAAATCTTAGCTATATTATGTCTTCCAGGCCAACCATTAATACAATAAACAGGACAAAATAGTATTTTATTATTAAAAACCTATGATTTATTTTTGTGTTGTCTTAACTTTAATTCTCTAACTGTTAATGATATACAATGGATATTTGTATATTGAACTTTAATCCAGTGATCTTTTTTTTTAATAATCCAGTGATCTTGTTGACTCACTTTTAATTCTTTTCTATATACAAAATTATGTTGCTTAGAAATAAAAAAATCTATAATTTTGATTAAAATTCAAAATATATAATATAAATTAAATATATAAATATTACTGAATTTAAAAATCTGAATGATTATGTACTCAACAACTACTAATATTTGAAACTTCTAGATTATTTTTAAAAGATCTATAAATACATATGATATTTATGTAGACTTTATTAAATTATATTCATAGTTGCAAGGAGATGAAACAAAATGTCCAGAAGCTTTCTTTATCTTAGTAGTTTTACCCTACTTTATATTAATAAATAGACTTATACTTATTTAAGTATCTTATCTTGAATGGTTACTCAATTAATGATTCTGTGTTCCTGAAAATAGAAAATATTCAACTGTAGGTACACTTCAAAATGTTCACATTTTAAATACAAATTCTAAAAAATATGTCACATATAAAGATCAGTAAACTTATTTGACTGTCACAAGTAACCTATTTCAGATTAAGTATTACCAACCCCTTATTATCCTTACTTTAGAATATGTTTCATTTTTAGGTAAACTACTTAAAAATTTTCATGTCTATCTCAAAGATTTATTGCTTCAGAAAATACAATCCTTTTGGCCCAGAAACAACACACTTTACTAATGAAGTACTAAAGATTTTAGCTAAGTAATGCAGATACATAACGGATTTAGGAAGAAAGCCTGAACATCGTTGTCACCTCAGGTGCAGTTGACAGTGGCCTGGCAACTATGGCTTCAGCAGCGAGATTACTTTCATTTTTTAATCTAAATTCTTCTCTTGGTTTCAATCTCACCCCATATGAAATACATACACTTTCAAAATAATTATACTAAATTTACTCCAGGGTCCAGTAAGGAATATATGGTGAAGACGCTTTGCACAGTTAAGTGAATGATTAATTTAAAAAAACATGATGAGGGTATCTATATTAATTTTGTACAAGTAATAAAGCTCATTTTTGAGCATCAAGATTATATGAAATATGGCAGTGCCCATAGCTCAGGTGGTAGGGCACTGGCCACATACACTGAGGCTGGTAGGTTAGAACCCAGCCTGGGCCAGCTAAAATGACACCAGCAACAAAAAAAATAGCCAGGCATTGTAGCGGGTGCCTGTAGTCCCAGCTACTTGGAAGGCTGAGGCAGGAGAATCTCTTACGCCCAAGAATTTGAGGTTACTGTGAGCTGTGATGTCATAGCACTCTATTCAGGTGACAGCTTGAGACTCTATCTCAAAAAAAAAAAAAAAAAGATTATATGAAATAATCATAATAGGCCACGTGTGGTGGCTCAAGCCTGTAATCCAAGCACTCTGAGAGGCAGAGGCTGGTGGACTGCTTGAGCTCAGGAGCTTAAGACCAGCCTGAGCAAGAGTGAGACCCATCTGTAAAAATAGCTGAGTGTCATGGAGGGCGCCTGTCATCCCAACTACTTGGGGGGCTGAGGCAAGAGGATCCCTTGAACCTAAGAGTTTGAGGTTGCTATGAGCTATGATGCCACAGCACTCAACCCCAGGGCAATTGAGTGAGATTCTGTCTCAAAAAAAAATCATAATAAAGTTTAAAATATAGATAATATAATAGAGTCAGAATACTAGAAAAATTAAATTATAAAAAAATTAAAATCAAGCCTAAATACACATATCTGTGTTTGTGTATAAGTGTATACATTTGTCATAAATATGTCATAATACAAATGCCAAATTTGTGTTCTAAAGACAAAATTTACACCTATATGTGAGTTTACCAATGCTACACCTTTAATTTACAATTTTTAACTCAAAAATTAGACTTTTCATGTAAACATTTAAAAAACAACTCTTAAAAAATCTGATATGCTAAATGCTGATTATACAGACTATATATGCATATACAAACTACATTAAAAAGAGTGAACTAGATTTTTGAAAGGAATTGAAGTCAATATTCATGCTCTAATTTTCTTCATTTAGAATAAGGCCTTTTGTTTTCATCTATGTCCATATAAAAACTGATCAAAACTTGAACCAGAAGAACCTCAAACTCAAAAAGATGAGATGGTAACTTTAGGGTCACTATATATCTCTATTTAAGTACAGCTACTCTTTAATATGTTTCAGAACTAGGGATTCACTTAGGAAGGCCTATAGTAGTATTAAATAGCCAAGAGGGCAAGATCTTGAATTCTCATGATCTCTAGGAGGTGCTCTAAAGTTACATCTATATTAGTAAAAAGCACATTTCTTGAAATCCACCTTGTCTCCCAAATTAGACTATCTTCCCTATCCCCACCTATAAAAAAAATATGAACTACCCTAAAAAAAAAGAAAAAAAAAAACCTCTTCTACTTCAAAACATCAGGAATCTAAGTGCTATTACATTTAAAATGCACTCTTACAATTCAAATAAGAATGCTGGCATTGTGTGCATGTGTGTGTGAGAGAGAGAGACAGCTAGAGACAGAGAACCTTGGAGTGCTATTATTAAACTCATAAACTAAAATATTTCCATCATTTATGGCTAAGGTTGGAATTCAGGAAGAAAAGCTACTCATTACTACCAAACTCTTTTCTGAAGGATGCTTGAGGATTTACAACATGAGAATCATTCTTCACTTAGATTTTCACCTAGTCACCTTGTTTACCACCAGGTTTCACAGCTTTAAAAAAAAAGTATGAGAAAAAGCCCATGCCACACTGCTTAGGATTTATAATTGAAAAGAAGTAAAACACTGATATGTGTGATAAATATTATTAAAGTGGAAATGTAAAAAAGAAGGAAGAAAAATAAAGTACTGCCTATCTTTATTATTTAGCAGCAGCATATTCCCTTGAACAAGAATAGTGGAAAATGTCATCACACTGCGGGATGATATTCTAGGTCTGTTGTTCCACTAATCAACGAAAATAAAAACCCACAAATTGTCTTCATTTAAATAATTAAGAACTCTTTCATTAAAAAAGGTAAAAATAATAAAAGAGAAGAAAAAGAATACATTATGCTAAACTAAATACATTTTGACAAGTTACATTTGAAATCTACTATTGCAATAATAGATGTTAATACTATTTTCAAAGTACTAAGCAAAAGTTATCATGGTAACAACATAGTTCCTCTTGAAACATAATTAATTGCCTAAAATTGTATCAGATGCAACGAGGTACTCTACTCTCTTTTATAATATTATTTAACAAATAGTATTAGCATACATTTATGTTCTATATCATTAAATGTTCTTCTTTATGTGAAATGCTTGAAATTATTACTATTTTCATATATTAATCTCATTATATAAAATGCTACTTTATGTTTGAAGCCTAAAAGACTTCCTGAAACATTACTAAGAATTCATCTAAAATCAAGATAGGAAAATAATATCTTTTCCTCAACATATAATTATAATTATCCTTACATACTGCATTCTTACTTCTGCTTTAAAACCCAACAATTAAGTGTCTTACTCATCCTCACAATTTTGCAATACAAATATGTCCACAGACTAAGTGATAGAGAAATACAGCTGTATGAGAAGTAATGCAGGAAAAAAAATCACAGGAAATTATAATTACAACATAAATATATCTTACTCTTTGTAGTCCTTCATACCAATCATCTTGCTCAAACCAATTTGATATGTAAGTCATCCAAGCCATAGATTGTTTCTATTTTAATCAAGGCAATTGGAAACTCGGCATCAGAATAGGCAGCACCTAAAGTAACAACAATGTGTTTCAGCCAAACATGATTTACCAAAATCTCTCTTGTGGCATGATGTTAGTACAAAATGTGAGAAGCACACAAATATTTCAGCTGAAACTATTTTAATAATTTACAAATTAACTGGGTGTAGTGGGCTGAGGCAGGAAGATCACTAAGCGCAGGAGTTTGAGGTTGCTTTGAGTTCTGTTGACGCCACTGCAACACTCTTGCCCAAGTGACAGGGGCAGACATTCTCTCAAAAACAAAACAAACAAATGAAGAAAACGCATCAGTGTACAAAGTTATGATTTAATAACAAAGAATTTTAAAAAACAAGTAAAGAAAAAAACAAAGTACCCTAAAAATCAGACTGTTTTCCCAGACATTGGATTTAATAAAAGAAGAAAAAAAGGCATGCTAAATTTCTCATTTTACAAAGGTAATTAATAGACATTAATTTGCTTCTTGATATTTAGGGAAAAACTGCCTCAAAATATCAGAAAGGAATTGGTTCAGGTCCTTTTATAATTTAAAAAGCAATATAAAATAATAAAAATTATAAAACAAATTCTTACAATTTTATCTTTAAGCTAAAATATACCATAAACAAAGTTGAAAGTAAAAAACTAGATAAAAACATATGAATAATATAAAACATCTTACTTAATATGCAAAGAGTAATTATAAATCAATGATCTGAAATGTTTATGTAGTTAATTTAAATAGCATGTTATAGTTATGTTTCTATATTTAAAAATTTATATATACCCACGAAAACATTAAAAACTAAAGAAATATATAGCACAAGGTAAATAGCTGGCTATTTCTGATTGGCAAGATAGGGAAATGTATTACTCCTTTGACTTATATTTTTTAAAAATTGTAATAATAACTGCTCAGTTCATTTATTCATTCAACAAATATTTATTGAGCAATAATTATGTGCCAGGCAGCCACTGAAGAAAAAGCCCTAAAAAAAAAGATAGAAATTCTGCCCACCCAGAGCTTTTGTTCTTGCAGCAAAAACTCAGAAAATGAGCATAACTAGTAAGTAAACAGTATATATATTAGAAGATAATATGTGGCATAGAGAAAAAATAATAGAAGGAAAGAGGATAAGGAGTTCAGGAGATAGAGTCACACTGTAAATGGTATGGGAAGCCTCACAAATGAAACATCTGAAGGAGACAAATGAGAAAAGTATGAAGACAGCTGGTGGAAAAGCTGGTTAAATGGAGGGAGCACAAAAGCAATACTCTGTGACATGTTCCTGGCAGGTCTGAGTAATGGTAAATAATCAACAAAAGCTCCTAAGAACATGTATTCAAAGATCAGAAATATACCAGGATGCAGAAAGTCAAGATAGTTTCATTAAATGCATCCTTCTATTCTTCTGAGTTGTGTCAATTTTCTGTAATGGGAATGTATTACGCTTATTACTAAAAATCAAAAAACAGAACCCTAAAAGTATCTGGCTGAAATATCAGCCTTTAAAATTTGGATATACTATATGCTCAGAACTGTGCAAAAAATATTTTTTCTCATTATATAATCAATACATGCTGTTTGAAAAACACTTGAAAAATGCAGAAAATTGGAAGAAATATTTTAAAAATCTGTTACAGCTAGGCTCAGTGGCTCACGCCTGTAATCCTAGCACTCTTGGAGACTGAGGTGGGTGCACTGCCTGAGCCCCCAGGTTGGAGACCAGTCTGAGCCAGAGCAAGACCTTGTCTCTAAAAATAGCAGGGTGTTGTGGTAGGTGCCTGTAGTCCCAGCTACTTGGGAGGCTGAGGCAAGAGAATCCCTTAAGCCCAAGAGTTTGAAGTTGCTGTGAGCTATGATGCCATCGCACTCTACTGAGGGTGACAAAGTGAGACTCTGTCTTTAAATAAATAAATAAAATAAATAAAAATAAAAAATCCATTACATTCCCTTAAGACTTTCCTTTGTTCTTTATCCATAATTCTAAGTGACCACTATTATCATTGTGAAATGAAGAGTCATAGATTATCAAGGATAAATAAGAGTTTTAAAGATCTCTTAATAAGTGTATCGCAAAGTGTGCTTCACAGGTCTTCTGCATTGAGTTAATTTAGAAACTTGCTAAAAATACAGATTCTGTCTCACACCCCAAATCAAATGAATCAAAATCTTGGGGTGGAGCTTTTTAAACATCATCCCCAGATGATTTATGTGCATAAATAGAACTTAAAACTTACTGACCTAGTTCAACGATAGTAAAGTTGAGTCAGCAGAAAAACTGTCTCTGATGATCTTCTACTGATTGAGATAAAATCTTCAATTTCTATACTTTCTGAGTTTACCTTTTACATGCTTGGTAGGGTCTTATAGCTAAGCATTCCCAATATATGTCAAATCATGATGTTCTTAAAAGCTTAGATGGTAAAATAGGTCACAAGCACAGTATTAGCTGGATTAAAATCCTAGATTAGGTAGCAAGTAGAAAAGAATAAGGTCATTATGGCAGTTCTAGTCTGAGCTCACAAAATGACCACTTACACCAGTATGAATTCCATTTTGGTCAGCAAAACATACTATGTAAGATCAAGTACTGCGTATCAAAGGAACCAGATGCGTGGAAAGGTGAAAGCAGTGATCGTCATCATCCATCTACATATACTCGTTTTTATGCTTTCCTACATTTTAACCACCAAAATGAAAATTATGAGGATTTGAATCCCAGGGTAGAATTACTAGGTGCTTGGAGGATTACAGAGTTTTTTTGTGCTGTGATGTGGAAATGATTTTTGATTTGAGGGAAGAAGTGAGCCGTTTTTACTTGAACAGGCTCATTCACATACTTTCCTATGTGACCATTCCCAGTCAGCCAGCCACAGAAAATGGAGGGCAGGGAAATATTTGTATCCATAAACTAAGATGTTAGAAGAAAACATTCCATTGAGAGAACATTATGAAAGGAAATAAGTAAATATTTGTCATTTAAAATACAGAATTATTTCCACAATAGGTCATAGCAAAAAAGTGTAGCCTTATTTTTATCAATAGATCATTTCTCATGAAAAAAGACTGACGGGAATATGCCAGAAATTTTTCTGTACACCCGAGGACTTCTGTTTCCCTTTTTAATTAATAAAGTTAGTGAGCTCGGTTTTGTGTATGAGTTTTTGGAGCAGGATAGGCCTTTATGTTTATCTTTCCTGTCAACCTCAGGACTTCCACTTAACAGAAAGTCATTTATGCTTGCATTTTCACGTTCTCAACAAAGGTGTTAAAAAATCATTTTGACAGCAGTGCCTGTGGCTCAAAGGAGTAGGGCGCTGACCCCACACACTGGAGGTGGCAGGTTCAAACCCAGCCCTGGCCAAAAACTGCAAAAAAAAAAAAAAAAAAAAAAAATCATTTTGACAAGTCAATTGAGAAAAACCAGCAAAGGAAATGGAAGCTTGGAAACTAAAAAACTTGAAAAAAATAGACTACATAGACACTAAACTTGAAAATATCTTCTATATATATCTAATATATTAACAAAGGCCTGAAATAAGTCCTAAAATTTGATAAGGAGCCTATGTACAGGTCAGATAGTTTGCTCATCTATGCATTATTTCACCTGTCACAGATTATACTCTTAGCCAGGCATCCTCAAACTATGGCCCGCAGGCCACATGCGGCCTGCCGAGGAAATTTATCGGGCCCACTGGGTGTTATTGCCACAGCTGCCTGACCTGCTTAGGAGCCAACTCATCCCGAAGCCCACAGTCTAGCCCTCCAACGGTCTCAGGGACAATGAACTGGCCCCCTGTTTAAAAAGTTTGAGGATCCCTGCTAGCCAAAATAAAATTCCCCTTACCATGAACTAATGTAATTAATTATGAAGGTGAGACATCATGTCCAAAAAGCTATTAAGATATAAATATTAATAAAATATATTTACTCTTAATTTTCAGGAATAAGTGAATTTATTTAGTAGTTTAAGGTATCCCCAAGTATAAAGCTTCAGAAATGGAATGGGGCATGGACATTATCAGCTCAAGAGGCAACCAAGTCTCCATGGCATAATGTTTCTTATAGCAGTACTTCTCAAACTCTACCTTGCATAAGAATTACTTGAGGCTTGTTAAAATGTAGATTCTTGGGCCTTTCCCTCAGAAATTTTGTTTTGGGCAGGGTGTGGTCCAAGAATCTTTATGTCCCAAGAGATGCCAATACTGCAGGTCTAAGGCACACTTTGAGTGACAGGGCTATAGACAGCATCGAAGACCAACAGAGAAGAAAACCCAGATGATAAATGTCTCCAATTTAAATTTCACCTAAGGATACCAGTAATCTAGGCTTCTGACATCACTTCCAAAAGCATCTTATTTTGAACATTCTTACCATTTAATTTGAAGTGTGATGCTACATATGCTTATATACCACGAGGTGCATTGGGATAAAGAATTTCTTAGGTAACCAGACCTCAAATCACAAAAGACTTGGCAGCAAAACTTAGATTGTATTAAGATACGAATCAATACAGTATATAAATCTGGAGAAAATATTTTTTCACTAATATTTTAAATAAGCTTTCTATACGAGACCAAACACATGCATATTGTTTATTATGTACAACAAATCTTTTAACAATACAAAAGTGACTTAGTTATTCAAACTTTTGACTTAGTCACCTAAAGAAAGGCAAAAAAAGAGAAAATGATGTTGGTGATTTATTTTCTAGCCCTTTAGAGGGGCAGCTCCATGCTGAGTGTCAGCACTCGGGGTTCTAGTCCAGCTTTCCCTCTCCTAATTCTGAGACCCATAATTTTTATCTTTGTGCTCTCATCTACAAAATAATAGTGTGAGATTCAGTGGTTCTTAAGGATCCTTCTGGTTTAAATTCTGAAATGGCTCCTTCCAACCCATTACCATGTTTATCTTAAAAATAGAATGTTGGCATAACTCTTTTCTGTAAGTCATTCATAACATTTTATCT